CACACACTGTTGGTGGGAATGTATTTTGGTGCAGCCACTGTGAAAAACAATATGGAAATTTTTCAGAAAATTAAAAATAGAAATACCATATGATCCAGTAATTCCATTACTGGGTATTTACCCCCCAACACCAAAAATTCTAATTCAAAAAGATACATGCACCTCTCTGCTTGTTGCAGCATTATTTACAATAGCTAAGATATGGAAGCAGTCCAATTGTCCATTTACCATTGATAGATGAATGGATAAAGAAGATGTGGTATATATACACACACAATGGAATATTACTCAGCCATAAAAAAAGTATGAGATGAGCACTGGGTGTTATGTGTAACTGATGAATTGTTGAATACTACATCAAAAACTAATGATGTACTATACAGTGGCTAATTGAACATAATTAAAAAAAAAGTATGAGATTTTTCATTTGCAACAATATGGATGGACCAGGATGGTATTATGCTAATTGAAAGAAGTCAGATAGAGACAAATCCCATATGATTTCATTTATATCTGGAATCTATAAGACAAAACAAATGAATAAACAAAAAGCAGAAATAGACCCCAGAGAACAAACTGATGATTTCCAGAAGTGTGGGTGGATGGGGAAAATAGGTGAAGGGGAGTGAGAGACACAGGCTTCCAGCTATGGAATAAGTCACAGGGAGAAAAGGTACAGCATAGAGAATATAATCAATGGGAGTGTAATAGTGTTGTATGGTGACAAATGGTAGCTACACTTGGGGTGAGTAGAGCACAATGTATAGAATTGTCAAATCAGTATGTTGTACACCTCAAACTAGTGTAACATTGTATATCAACTATACTTCAATTTTTTAAAAAAGAATTGCTCTGTACAGAAATGATATTGTTTATGAGACAGGATCCTCTTTCATTATTTGCTGAATTAACAGCAAATACATGAACATTTTTCTAGCCCATTTAATGCTCAGATTTTTATATGACATATATTTGGTATCTTCATTATTGATTGTCAGGAAAACTGCTTACTGGAATATTTAAAGAGATCAAACCTAATCCATTAGACGAGATGAGACATATGGGCTGCTTGGTTCGAATTCAGGCTCTGCTCATGAAGGTTTTTTGGGGGTGGGGAGGAGTCAAGGCAGTTTATTGGCACCTGAGCAGCCCTCTGCCCATTAATTTTTTTTTATTATGTTATGTTAATCACCGTACATTACATCATTAGTTTTTGATGTAGTGTTCCATGATTCATTGTTTGTGTATAACACCCAGTGCTCCATGAAATATGTGCCCTCCTTAATACCCATCACAGGGCTAACCCATCCCCCACCCTCTTCCCCTCTAAAACCCTCAGTTTGTTTCTCAGAGTCCATAGTCTCTCATGGTTCGTCTCCCCCTCCAATTTCCCCCCCTTCATTTTCCCCTTCCTACTATCCTTTTGCCCATTAAGTTTTAAACAACCTTTCCATGCTCAGTTTTCTCATCTGTAAAATGGGGATGCTTATAACAGTACTCATAGGAGTTCACGTACGTTTGTAAGGATGCCTGGAAGAGACAATCACTAAATAATTATAAAATTAGTGTTTATGCCCACTTCAGTTGGGCTTCTAGTGGGTTTTAGGTGAAGGTGAATTTCAATAGAGACCATTAAAAAGCCTTTTCCTTAGGCATTGTCACCTGCACGTTGCCCCATGGGGCCTAACTGTTGCTCATAATCTTCTTCTGTTGTTGGCCTCGGGAACCCCATCACCTCCTCAGTGCCTTGTGCTCATCTCTATACTCTGTTAAGAGTTCAAGTCCTATGGCGACTGCAGTTCCCATAAACAACCATACCAGGGAAGTTCTGGGTGGAATGAAGACAGGTAACAGGTGACCATAGCCAAGGTATGGTTACTGAGCACCAGCTATTTGCCTCCCAGTATGTCAGAAAAGACACTGTCTCCTCGGTGGGCTTTCCATCTTCTGACTTGGAGGAGGGGGCAATGCAGGGACAGGGGAAGGCAAGTAACAGCTGTGGCCAGCTGGCAGGCTGCTAGAGGCCAGCATAGGTCATCTGGGCTTCCTGGAACAGCTGGTCATGCACAGGCCAGTCCTCCAGATTCCCTGAGGCGATCCCAGCCACTGGTGATACTTAAAAGGCAGGATTTGAGGGGACTGGGACAGATCTTGGAGGCTCTCTGCCGTACAAGGCACTGGCCCTACAGGGGCCAGAACTGGATGAAGTCTATGGAGGCCAAAGATGGGCATTGGGAAGGAGGAGGCTTGGGCAGTGAGTCTTTCAATATTCTCACAACTTATTCAACTAAATAAGGGGTGTGTTGGCTGAAGATCAGCCCTGGGCTTAAGAACACATCATTTGGGGGCGCCTGGGTGGCTCTGTCGTTAAGCATCTTCCTTTGGCTCTGGTCGTGATCCCAGAGTCCAGGGATCGAGCCCCGCATCGGGCTCCCTGCTCAGCGGGAAGCCTGCTTCTCCCTCTCCCATTCCCCGCCCCCTGCTTGTGTTCCCTCTCTCGCTGTCTCTCTGTCAAATAAATAAATAAAATCTTTAAAAAAAAAAGAACCCATAATTTGCTTGACTATGTTACAACATCTTTCCACTATGTCTTTTTTCTACTTCCAAAAGTTATAAGCAAGTACGTTATAAGTTCAGGCCTACAAGAGGATAGCTTTTTGTCATTTCTCACTTGACAATGAGCTTTTTTTTTAAGTCATACGTGGGGAAACAAGCAAACAAACTCCACTATATTTTTCTTTTTTCCTTTGCTTTAATGAAAAATATAGGTGGGAAAAGAATCTTAAGTGTATTTCATGGACATGAAAATTACCAGTGGTTACTGTCAAATAAATATATTAAAGATTTCTTTTCTTCTTTCTTAAGATAGGGCAAAAGTCTATTAAACATTGGTTCCTCAGGCTCCCAGTCTCTCTGAGGATCCTGATTTGACCTATCCAACCAGACCCTTCCCTCCCCCACTTTAGGATTAGGGGTTTATTCTTTTGGGTTTTTGTTTCACAGGATGAGGAAAACTTGGGAGGGAGGGAAAGATGAGTGGGTCTAAACCTGAGGTTTGAAACCAAATCTGTAGGGTCTAGCACCTGCAGTCATGAATGAAAGTGAGTAAGTGGTCTGAGAGTATTAACTAGCTTAGGTGGGGACTGTGTCCAAATGCAGGGACCAAACTCATGTCATCATTCACAGACCAGCTCCGGCCAATTGCTATCATGAATGCAGGCTCCGGGTTGCCAAATCGTTTAACTTTTGAAAGATCCAAATCTGAGAGTGTGTGTGTGTGTGAACTTTCTTGAGTTTGAAAACACTGAGCTGACCAAACAAAGCACATCTGGAGGCCATAGGTCTATTACCTCAACCAGGCCTGAGGCAGGAGATTTTTAATGGAATTTGAAGGATTAGAAATGGGAACAGCTGTGGTATATTTGTGATAAAAGCCACGAAAGAAAAAAAAATAGGGCTTTTTGGAGTGTGTGACGCTTCTTCAACATACTCAAGAAAACCTAGTAAAGGACAGTGTTTTGAAACAATTTTGGGTTGCTGGACTGTGTACTTTTGACAAAGTTCTACAGGGGCCTTACTGTAAAAGAGGAGTATATTTTTTCCTCTACATAAGCTACATAGAGGGTTATTTTTATAATCCTACATTATATCTGAGTTACTTGTCTCTTCTCAAGGCAAGTAAAATCTTCTTTGCCTTGTTAATTAATAAAAAAAGAAAATGAAGACTTTCTTGTGATTCATGCCACCAAATAAATGTCTAAATCCCATGTAGTTTTGAGACTTCCTTGAAGGGTAACATGGATACGAATTAAAAAAAAAAACTATTAAAGGGAAAGTCTAATTATGTTGCTATCTGGTACCAAATCCACATTATTAGCAAAGGAAAACGGAATGCAAGATGATGACTCCATTGGTAGAAGTAGGTTTCAGCCAAGTTAGAATGGTAGGTCTGGCAAACCTCCAACACAAAGACATTTCTTCCAACAGTCACAAGTTTCTACCACTTGATACCTAGACTCTTTGACATCAGACTTCGTGATATTACCTCCTGTAGTCTTAGAAATGATTCTTACCTATTAGCAGGCTGCTGTGGATCTCTTTCTCCTTGGACTAGATGAGCTGAATGCTTCTAAGACTTTAATGAGCAGATGATTCTTCTAGGGGAGTGCTGTAAGTTGGCCAGGGGTGGAGCATGGGAATTTGTATGTCTGACAAGGTCCCAGGTAAAGCCTGAACACAACTTGAGTAGCAAGGAGCTAAAGGACTGAATAAAGATAGAGAATAGGGTGTGTGGACCTACAGGATGTCTGCTTTAAGACCTGCACGGAATCAGTTCCTCTCTTCTGGCAGTAGCAGCCTGACTTTACTTAGGAGGGAACATTTACTTAGAAGGGAACATTTCCTCTTCATGATTAGTTTATGTAGTTCAGAAGAGGCCCCTTCTCCCTTTACTTTCCTCCTACCCCAACCACCTGTGATAGAGAAAAGAATGTGACCCGACCATGGGTAATCAGCAGAAGTGAGCAGGTGACCCAAGGTTCAGTGATTTTCAGACCCGAGATCTTGGCTAGTGCTAGTGGGAAAGAGGCTTTCTTTGGTGGGTTGTGAAACCTGGAGCTCCCAGTGACTATCATGAAAGGGGTGCTTGCCTTTAGAATAAAACTAACACAGAAGAAGCAGGGCTAAGATTTGGAAAAAGAAAGATTCTTAACATCTTTTGAATGCCTGGATCCATCCATGCCTGAGGTCTGCCTTGTTGGTTACTTGAGCCAATAAGTTTGCCTTTATGATTAAGCCAATTTGATTTCAGTTTCTGTCACTTGCAACAGATAGCATCCTGCTAAATACAGTAGTAGATAAAGGCTGACACACGGTGGGGAGATAACTGTAGCGTTCTCATCATAATTTTTCCTTGGTTGGACTGAGCCATGTGTGTGTGTGTGTGTGTATATGTGTAGTATTTTTTTTTTCCCAGAGAAGAAACAATCTGAAACTATAAGTTAGGTGACAAGCAATTTTATTTTGCAAAACAATCACTATACAGCAACAAATACATTTGCAAATTTTGATTGAAAAACATGAACTAACTACAACCAGCCATTGAAGAAATGCCTTTCTATGGTAACAGGCTCTAGAATTATCAGAAGAAAGAAACCCCCCAGAGATTTGTAGCGGCATGTTGGAACCTTGGAATCCCAGCATACAGAGTATACTTTTTGTTGATTTTTTTTTTCTTTTTGCTAAAGTTGAAGTAGATTTTCATGATTGACATTTTGTGAGTTTAAAAATAAGCTCTTTCCTGCAGAGGGACTTGGCCTCAACCTACACACCCAGGCTAAAAATCCTAGGTGTAAAAAAACAAACATCAGTGCTGATTTTAACACATCAGTTTTGGAAGGAATGCCTAGACTTTGCCTTTCCAAGCCACGATTCTATTTTTTTTTCTTGGCTACTTAGACCATGAATAGTTTATTTTCCTCATTTTTGTGGCATGAAAAATCGGACAAAAAGTGTAATTGTAGCAAGGTCAGAATCAACCGCTTCGAGATGATTTCTTTAACAATATTGACATGGATGTTATATTTTGGCTGATGATCCTCTTTCCTGCTGTATTACTGTATGAATGTGTGGAGAAGGTCGGCTATCATCAGCAGATTCTTCCATTTAATGAAGTTCTCTCTTCAGCCTTCTTCAGCCATACCGAGTTGGTGTTACACAGGTGTCTTGCTTGGGGCTGGGATTTCAGCCTATCATCCTGCTGGAACTCAGCAGGAGAATCCAGAGAGAGTTGGTTCCTAAATGAACAGGGCCTTTGAAACTCATCATCAACTCGGATCTTTCCTGCATCATTATAAAGTACCCAATTATCGGCTGCAGGTGACCCGGAGAGAGCGAGTTCATTGAAGAAGCTGGCCTTTTAACTCTTCACAGCTCTGGATTACTTATGTATCCTTAAACAGGTTCTCAAAGGCTAAAGCCGGAGAGAAACTGGCAGTAATAGATCTAGAATTGGAACTATGAAGCTTTAATTTCTAGATCAGCGTATGGGTACCCCCACAAGAGTGGTGTTCAAAAAGCTTAATTTGCGTCGTTAATCTTGAGAGTGAAGGCAAGATAGGTTCCAACCCCTGTCCCCATAAGAAGACATTTAGCCTGTGTGTTTCTCTCTTCTATTGGTACAAATTATCAGTTTCTTTTTGTTAACATTATAAAGAATCATATTTCCATACAAAGGAAGGGCATTTATTCATTATAATTTTGCTGAGATTTGAAATAAACATTTGCTTTAATGCCAAATCTAGTATCTTAGGGTTTTATATAATCTTTATCTTGGGCATGCATTTGTAAGAAACAGAATTTTAATATGTAAAGCATAATTACTTATTCTTACCTTTTATAAAAAATGTAAACCAAGTTGGTAGAAAATACTTATTTTGTAGGTTAAAACTGTTCTAACCTGCTGTTAACTCCTTCTTTCTAAAGAACTTTAATCACTACCTAACACTATCAAACATGTAGGAAAATACCATAGGTCTCCACACAACTACTCTTCTCCAATTTTCTAGTGCATTTCAAGGGAAGCTGATGAATAAAATGCTCAGATAGGTCAAATCCACATCATTATTAGGCAGAAAATAGACCCATCCATAGTCATACTCCATAGTTTCTAATTTTTTTGACTGTTGTATAAAAGAATTGATTTATTAACATTTTCAGACATGTTTGCTTATGCAAAACCTATTAGTTGAGAATGAGTGCTATGTTTTTGCTCCTACAGTTTTTTTTTTTTTTTTTTTTGTGGAAGTCACATTGGTTGCAATATTCAGTGGGTCACAAAATGGCACCTGTGTCTCTCTGTCTTTGCATCCCTTGGCTGCTTTCCTAGATGCTACTGTACTTCCTCGTTGCCTCATCCATGCTCATCACTTCCTCCTATATAGTCAGGAATTGATTCGGCTCACGGGGATCAGACACCTATCAGACTATTTGCTTTTAACGGTTCAGAACCAACCTACCAGCCCCGAGCAAGAAAAAGAACAGATAAAATACTAAAAATATCCACCCAGACTGGTAACTGACTGCTTATTCAGGCCATTGACTATTTAATTGCTTTTCACCAGTCTAAGATGAATGATTTGTGAGAGGAATTAATTGGTGATTTCCCAGGCTGTAGATTAAGTCACACCAGTATTATCTGTTGATAAGTAATACCAAGTCATAAAGTGTTCCTTCACAGAGGGCAATGTTAGAATCCTGAAAAAACTGATTTAGATATCTGTATCTCAAGTGTTGTGTAGCTATAGGTTCTCGAATAACTGTACTTGTCCTTTTTGATCAAGGCTCTTTACTTTGGGTAAGGAAGCCAAATATTTTCTCTCAGATAATTTAATTAGCAGGCAATGTCTGAAAGAGTAGGACAACATGTCCCAAACTCCCTCTGTTAGTTTCAACTTTAGCAAAGGGAAAAAAAAAAGAAATCTTCAGAAGTCTGTTTCTTGAATGATTACAGGAATAAAACCCAAACTATTCCATAATTCAAAATGAGATAAATCCAAAATCTTACTTAAACCAACAATCTGTAAACCCTTTTAATGTATAACTGGACCCACCCCCACAAACTCCATGTTGGTGAAAGCAAAGAAAAATAAATTTTCCTACCATCACGGGAGAGACTTGTTTCTGGCACTAAAACAGGGTTACAGCTCTGAGTTGTTACAGGAAGCAACTTCATGCTAAAACTTTTTGTTCTTTTTTAATGTATTTTTTTTAAATAGGGAAAGAACCCTGCTAACATCTACTTTCACATACCTAAAATTGCAACACCAAAGGGTGCAGGAGACACAGATACTGTGAATAAGGAAGTATAATATTCAAGTATATGAGGAAGTATCACAAATGGCCACAGAGAAATATATATATATTTATATCTATAACACTGTATCAAACAGATGGAAAGGGAGTGTGAAACTGGTAGTGTGGACACAAATCTAGCTGATCAACTGACATTCTAATCAGACACGAGTCCATCCTAATGAAAGTGCTTCATTCCTAAGAGATGCACTTTTATATCGCTTCCTCAACCACAGCTCAAATGCTTCGTAACTATTTTTAATTAGTTAAATAATTTATTGGATTGACTTATACTCTGATATAATTATCCAGGTCCCAAATGTTAATAACTTAACTGAATCTTTCTTCCCATTTATACAAAATAACACTTAAAAAAAAAAACCTTATTTCTTACATGCTCTTTCCTTCCTGCAATCAGACTCCTTGATTTAATTTAACCTGTAATAAGTTAAAATGGGCAGCTTTTATCTTTTCACCCAGCAACAGAAGAGTGGAATGAGCAGCTTGGATTTCAACAAGGCCTTTCAGAATGTATGGATAGCCTTCAGGCACATGAAAGGTAAAAATGCAATATTTGAAATAATAATACTCCATGCAAAACAGAGCAGAGCAAAAATAATTGTCCAATTGTACTCATGTAAAGCCAGTGTCTTCCTGCTGCGAATGGAAACCAAGTCAATTTCTGCATATACTATTCATTGTTTTTTATAAAATTGTAACAATTACTACAGTTTGGGAATGAGATTATTTATTTTACGGTTTGTAAAGAATGACTATAACACCTGCTCAGAGCCCACTCCTGCCAAGAGCTCATGCCTAAATATTATTACTTCAATGCTAAATGAGAAATATTCACAAGCCCTGCTTAGCGAGTGCAGCAGTGACATCCTCGGCCAAAGTGGCAAGCTGAGGGGATTCGAGCAGGTTGATGCTTCCAGAAGAGGAGACATTGCTGAGTCGTCGGGGGGACGCCACGCTGGATCTGCCTGGGGATTGCGTAATGATCTCAGCTCCGTGGTCCACACGGGCCTTTGCATGCTCTCTGAAGTTCAACTTCTGGCTGTCGATCTGTTCAAGACAAGCATCAGTCCTTGTTAACTCAAGCATCTTAACTGGCCCCTAGACTTTTCACTATGTCTCAGAGCTGATGTTAATGTCACTTTTGTTCAGCTCTGCGATTCCTACTTCCTACATGTCCAGGCCTTTGATCGTGACCCATTTTGATGAGAAGTATTTCAGAAGGATTAAAAAGCAGAAGACAGGATCAGCTTACAACCTTGGTTCTTACCTTGACATTACCACCTCCAGGTACGTGGTGAGCATTGTCAAGTGAGCCGACTTTAGCTTGGGCCTTTTCTTTGAAATCCAGTTTTACACTCTCAATTTTCACACGGCCACCGCCTGTGAGAGAAGAAAGGCTTTTAAATGCCTTGCTACAGTGACATATTCTACTTGGGGTGACTATTTCCCAAAAATGATTATAGTAAATAGATCATCATAAAGCACAGACTTAATTTACTATCCTTTCAACCATGGATGTGAAAGGAATTTTTTAGAATTTCTAGTCTGTATCATTTTTCCCATATCACCCAAGGTAATGATATCCTTTTTGTACCATTGTATGGCTTGACCTACGTATTAATATCTTTTTCTTCTAAGCCAAACTGAAGCCTGAATGCCAGATAAGTTTCCAATGCACTTACCTATTTTGAAACTGATCGTATCCACCTTTGCTTTTTGACTAATAAATTCTTCTTCATAATCTACCCATGTCTAACAGAAAATATCAGAGGGGCTTTTCTTATCTGTATAATAAAAATTCTAAAAAGAACACAGTGAAAATATCCTATTTCATCCTTTCTAAAACTTGGAACATTTAATCTCTTACTCTTAAGGGAGCAAATTAACTTGAAATGAAGATCTTTATTCTTCTTCATGGTAATAGGTCACTCTTCCAAAAAAACAAAAAACAAAACCCCCCCCCAAAAAAACTATTAGGTTAGAAATGGTACACATATGGGTAATATATTCATTTGTAAATTTTCAACATTGATGGCTTGACTGATGAAATTGGAGTTGGAAGCTAAGTTGTTTATAACCAGTGAGCTTTGAGAATTTACCATTATCACTAGCAAATGGAGCAACAGGAAGAGAACCTTAGGAAATCCCACTCTTGTACAGTTGGCATAGGACCAATCTGAAACTGACTTTGATCTGATAATGTGGTGACAGTTTTGACCATGGCATCTTCCTAAATGCTAATTAGTCTGAAATATGAGGATCTGCTGATAGATGAGAGTGCAGAGCGGTGCCCCTAAATCTGTATGCCTTTCCCAGCTTGTAAATGCAGGGAGTTCAATTCCGGTAGGTACCCATTGTCCATTAGCCTGTCCCTGAGCACCTTTTGAGGGTCTGCTGATGTCTTTGACTCGAAAAGAAGCTGAATTAGACCCCTTTACCTCTCCACCTGAGATTTGCTTTCACTTTGATTAGCAATTTGGTTTTGGCTGTGTGCATTTCTTTGGAAGGCCAGTGGTAAATGACATGACCATCTATGATTATTACTGCTTCTCTTGTGGGATTTTGACTTGGGAGAAACATGGGGAAGATTTTTTAATTTTGGACTCTCGATGCTTATTTATCTCTATAGCCCAAAAGAAAGGTCTGTTAAGTCTTCACAGACTTAGACCTTATGGTATTTTTCTCATATGATACCTAGACATTTATATCGACACCCAACTACCTGGCTAGGGGCCCCTTGAAATTATATGGTGTTATTAGATTACATTTTGAAGATATATGCATTCATTCTTCTCCTGAAGCTTTAGGATGTGCACACTGTTATTTAACTTGTGTTTATAGGAGACATGTACTTGTCCCTCCCTCAAAATATGCATTATTGCAGGAAGAGTTATTCTTCCAACATTTCACCTAGCCATATGGGTCTCTCGTCTTAGTTGTGATGGGATTAAGGTGATTCATAAAACATACTTATCTTGGTTAGAGGCTGGAGGATGTTGAGTTTCAACCTGATGAGATCGACTTTCTTGGGGTCTTTTCCATTTTTTTGGTAGCCTCTAATAGAAATGACCTTTGCAAGCTTTCTTTTATGATTATATGTTGGACAGAGTTATAAACCTGTTAAAATTTTTACTGAACTCTATTTTGAGGGAGAGAAAAAAAATGTAATATTGACCCAAAATATATTCAGAAAAGGAAGCTTGAGAAGTCTGTTTTTGTTGAAATCCTACTAGAAATTTTTATGTAACTGTTAGAGAAGCCCATTTGAATTCACAGATTATGCCTTTGGCTCTGAAGAATTCTGGCATCTACCAGGAGCAGTAATTGTGAAGGACTATAATCTTCATCAAGCTCCATATGTCCTAAAGTTGGGCTTCCATGTGTTGAACTGTTTCCTTTATTTTCTCCTTAGATATTCCACATTCCAAAGTAACTTTGTGAAAAGCTTGCCATTGTCAAAGATCATTGTGTTAACACTTTTTTATGAATTTAGTTATCTGATTCAGTTCTTATAAAAGAAAGATCTAGATTTAGAAATAGGTGGGAGTCCATGACAATAGTCTTTTATGACCAATAAATCTTACATAGACTACTTCTTTAGCTATGTCACATTTTCCTGTACATCAAGAGTCCAGTTGAATTTGGCTAATGGAATACTTACTGTCTAAATTAAAGAATCTAATATTTTCTTTTGCATTTTAGAAGAAAATAGGCAGTATGGCCAAATACTTCAGTCCTACTGTTGACACAGCAGTACAGAGTCAACTAAGTGTTTGTAAGCTTGAGTTATAGACAGCAGAATTGTGAAGATATGCAGTGTGAGACTGTGTCCCTGCCACCTCAGGAATGACAGAGAAGTTAATTCCAAGGAAGCGGTTTTGAAATTCATACTGGAAGTTGTTGGGGAACATCTACAAAAAGATGTGACACTGATTGACCTGAAAGCTGGACCTGGGCACTCGGAGGCTTCTCATTTCCTCCCCTGCTTGCCTTTCCTGCTCCCAGAGGCTGCTCCAAGGACAGAGCCTTGAGATAATGATGTGGTGTTGAGAACACCAACACAGTATGCATGACTAAACCCAGTTAAGGCTTCTTTATAAACTTTTAAGATTTGGTGGGCGGGTGTGAGGATCCATCTTGCTGCTAACCAAGAGAAGCCTCATATGTAAGTTCCCTTTACTTATTAAAACCGCCACCTACTAACCTGGAGTGGCCTACCTCTTTCTTCGGTTTCTCCCTGTCTTCTGAGTACAGGGGCCAGTTTCAGATTACACCAGGGAAGCTCCCAAGAGCGTTGTGAACCAGTAGAGATTCTGTATATGTATTATCCAACTCCTTGACTTGCTTTATGAACACTCTTTGTCAAAGTGAAGCCTGACTTCTAGACATGTTTCCAGTGCATTTATCCATTTTGAAACTTATCCTACCTACCTTTATTTTTCAACTAATAAATTCTTCTTAATAATCTTTTCTTGGTCAGAAATCTTTTTGGGCTTGATTGTTCTTATACTTTGTTTCTGATAACATTTGAGACAGTGTAATAAGTTATTCCCATTAATAATGGTTTAATTAAGATATCAAGCACACCAAAGGCTTCCTCTTGTCCATCCATAATTCAGTGGTATATATTGTGTCAAAATATTCTCAAGAAAATGACAAATTTGACAGTTGCCCATTATTTACATATGCATGGAGGTACAAGTTAGCAAAAATATATAATAATGATACTCAGAAAAAATGACTTATGTTAGATTTACACTTTAAAGAGGAAAAAATCCCCAACAGGTATGAATGTAAATTGTACTTTAGATCACTAGTCCTATAGAAAAACAAGAGGCCAATGGTTAAATAAGTTGGGACAAGCACTGCGTCAAGAGATGGGTCAATTAAGCACTGCATTCTGCTGAGGATTCATAATGCTTATTGACCTACTATAGGATCTGAGAAATTTAGCAGATAAATACTTTCATCAGCTTTGCTTAAACACAATCCTTTCTTCACATATGAAGACAAATACTTCCATGAAAAATCTTTGGAAATGCTGCTTTCAATCCATGTAATTATGTATGAATACATGGCCCAAGGTATTTTATAGACCATATATTTCAAAAGAGCTCCAACAAGCATGTTGAGTACATAGAGATAAGTGCATCTTATATACCTTTTAATTTTGAACATGTCCTATGATATGTGGCCTCCTTGTGATAATTGAGTTTACTTGCCCAAATGAAGATGCCTTAAAGTTTCTAACTTAAGTTTCTATTAATAAAAGCATGAGTTTTCAGGATTTTGAGACGTTTTTCCAATTAGGTATTTCACAACAAAAATTTTGCTTGTTGATTTCTTGAGCAATTTAATATTTCCCAAACTACCAAGAAGTATTTATTTACCTGGCCTGTGGCGGATGTTCTTCAGAGAGCCACATTTGGATGTCACATGGCTTAGGTCTATCTTCTTGGTAACAATCTGTACCTGTATGAACCATATAAAATACACTTAAAATGGTCGAGACATGGGCAAGCCCCCAAGCTCATACATAAAATCCAGAAACATACCCAAACTAACAACATACAACAACACAGAAACCCAAACTGAAGTACATACACACACATAGGAAAACATAACCTCCCAGTGTACTACCACATTTGGTTGGAAAGAAGGACCAAAATGAAAGAAAATCCTAGAATAGAAGATTTTATTAGTAGAAAACAGATCATGCCACAAGAGGATAGAAACACCTGGATTAATAAGGCAAGCTTCCACTCAGAGAACAAAGCCACACCATGTTAAACCTTTCCATTAGCAAAGAACCAAGTTGAGATGAATTATTTTTTTAAAAATGATTTTTACATAAAAGTGACCAACATTGCTCATAGTTACAAGAGGACCAACATTGCTTTAAGATATAAGAAGAAGAAGGATCAAAGCTTTTCTAAAATATTATTGTCATGTCTTGGCTAAATGGAATTTTTCTTTTCCACCAAATTATAAAATGGTAGTAACATTTTTTTCTTGTGTTTTATTGAAGTTATCTCCTCTCCCCATGTTAGAAACAGTGTTTTTCCAATTGTGGTGCACTGTCCATTGGCATCAGAAGTACAAGGGTATTACCGAATTGGAAATGGGACCACAGAATCTGCATATTTGAACAAGTGATTCTTCTCTAGAGGAAAGTTTAAGAGTATTGTTTTGGAGGTTGGAAGCTCCCCTACTTACTTTAAGATTGTTGGTTATCTCAATTTATCCTTTGCCACCTAGCCTTTTAGGCCAGCAGGGTCTGCAGGAGAGGATAGGGGTCACCCTTTGACACCCTGCAGGTATTTCCCAGGACTGAGACTGCTTTTGTGAGAGTACCACACGGTTTGCACTTACAGTCAGGACACAGGGAGGAGCTCCACCATGTCAATGTAAATACTGATCCTGAGGCTTAGCTCAGCACTCTTAAGGAGCCTAGCAAACCTTGCTATGGACTTCCTATGATAGTGACATTTTCATGCTCAGTGGAACTACTTCGAGCAACAGGTGACAGTTCCTGGTAGAAGGCACTGGCTTGTCTCCCCTTTCTCTGCTTGACTCCATCTCTGCCCAGCTGAGGAGCAAGGAGCCAAGAGTTATTAAACAGACGAGAATTCCGGACTTGACACTCTGTAAACTGAGTCACAGATGGCCAGAATCTGAAGTTTAGGTGACAAGGATCCATAGAATAGAGAATCAGCATGGGTCACCTTTATTATTCTTATTTTGTGAAGAACCATGCTTCCTTTACCTTGAGTTTGCCTGTTTCAGCTCTGCCTCAACTCTGAGAAACATGGATTCATCTTTCCCTTCCTCTCAAAAGATACCATTTCCACTCAATTCAAGACACAGAAAAAAAAAATCCCATTGGCAGGGATGCGGAGAAAGGGGAACCCTCCTACACTGTTGGTGGGAATGCATGCTGGTGCAGCCACTCTGGAAAACTGTATGGAGGTTCCTCAAAAAGTTGAAAATAGAGCTACCATATGATCCAGCAATTGCACTACTGGGTATTTA